CAACATTCGGGCTGCGTGTGACGGTTTAATTGGCCGTTCGACGGCCATAATTCTTGCCAAAGTTTGGGCTTTGCCTGGAATAGACCAAAATACCGCAGAGCAACATTCGGGCAGCGTATGACGGTTTCATTGGCCGTTTGAAGGCCATAATTCGTGCCAAAGATGACCAATTCGAACAAATCCAAACTTATTTTAAAATTTGATACAATTTCCGACATTTTCTGCTTTCAAAAATTAAAAAAAAAGTAAAAATTATGCCTTTTGACATTATTGCAGTTTTTTTTCTCACCCTGTATATTTATTAAAAAAGAAATTTCCTTATGCTTCTGACAGTCTAGAATCTAGACCACTGATGGAGGAATACTTTTGTTATGGAATATATGGCACAATGAAGATCGGAAGATGGTACCTTCTCTAGTACCTTCTCTTTAGGGTATTAGATCCAGAGCCCTCCTCTATAAAAAGTATATCCTTAGTGGCCCAAATGACCCACTCTCATTTTCCCATCCCTCGTTCCTTTTGTTCAGAAGACAACAATTATTTAAACCAACAATTTCTCCACGTGTATATGAGTGTGTGTGTTTGTCCCACTCTTTTGAAAGCTATTCTTTTGTCTCCCCCTCTCTTAATGTTTATATAGAATAACAACAAACATACACCTTTTTGTTATTGTTATTATATAGCTATTTGATAATTACCGCTAACGTTTGTTTTCTTTCCTACTTTAAAGCTTAATTCGCCAACTTGCCACTGCCACATTAGCTAAGCTTGGTTGCTACTGTTTTGTTGCTCGGCGTCCAAACAATGGCTGCTAAATCTCCCACATCGCAATTTTCGCTTTGTTTTGCTTGCTTTGGTGGTTCTTTCCTCGAGTTTTTTTTAATTGTATTTTAAAAACAAACATTGCAATTTTATTCTTTGTTGGTCACTGCCATTGTAAAATATAGTGGCATTTTTTCTAACGGTTTCAAGGTAGTCATTAAATAGTTGTGGCGGAACAAAAAAAAATATTCAATCTTTTATTGCTTTGAACTTAGCAGTACTCATGGGAAAAGCTTGGGGTAAGTAAAGCTTGATATTCTCAACCAAAAAAATATGAGGTTATGAACCACAGATGATCATGGCTGAACATAAATATAAATTACCATTATTATCCTCAGAATGGATCCGGATATAGACAAACAAAAAGAACTAAGAAATATTATGCTATACGGAAGACCAAAAAAATCGGCCGAAGGCTCATATCCTAGACGAACACAGGAGCTTCTCGAAGAATACCAAACGATCTTCTCTCAAAGGAAAAAGGGTCTCATTTAAGAACACTAAAGGGGAGTTTCCTAGAAGACCATAGTGTCTTCTACCAGCATACTGAAGGATAATCTTCTAGAAGACCAGGGTCTTCTCATAAACAAACACAAAAAAAGAATGGGGTCTTCTATTCGAAGGCAAAAATTTATTCTCCTTGTAGACTAACCTATTTTCTTTTAGAAAAACAAACGTCTTCTACTAGAAGGCCAAAAGATCTTCAACTACTGTTCTATTCCTTGAAGTCCAAAGTGTCCTTTCCTACGAGTCCGAAGAGTCTTTATTAGACGAAGGGTCTTTTTTCTAAGAAGACCAAGAGTTATTCCCCTTGAAGACCAAATGTTCATCTACCAAAAGACCAAAATCTGTTCTCTTAAAACACAAGTGGTCTTCTCCCAGAAGACTGACAGGTCTTTTCTTAGAAGTCTAAGGGGTCTTTTCTTAGAAGACCAAAGGGTCTTTTCTTAGAGGATCAAAGCGTTGTTTCCTACGAGTCCGAAGACCTTTCCTACGTTGACGACCAAAAGGTCTTCTCATAGAAGATCAAAGACTCTTCTTCCAAAGGACCGAAGCATTTTCTCTAGAAGACCGTAGGTTCTTCCCACAGAAGATCTAAAGGTCTTCTCACAGAATACCAAAATATACTGTTTTTCATGAACTCAAAGGGTCTTCTTATAAAAGACCAATGGGTCTACCAAAGGCCAAAGGATCTTCGAATTAATGAAGGATTTGACATCCTTTGGTCTTCTCACCGAAAATCAAAGTATCTTTTCTCCGTAGACTAGTGGGTCTACTCATAAAATACCAAATAGGACTTCTCACAAAATACCAAAAGAGCCTTCTAATAGAAGACCCAAGGGCCTTTTTCTAGAAGACAAAAGGGTACTCTCATAGAAGGCCAAAAAGTCTTCTCTTAGAAGACCAAAGGGTCTTCTCTTAGAAGACTAAAGTTTCTCTCGTGGAAGACAAAAGGGTCTTTTCATGGAAGACGAAAGGGTATTCTCATAGAAGAAGGGTATTCTTTTATGACCCCGAAGGGCCTTCTTATAGGGTCAAATGGTCTTCAGGTAGAAGGCCAAAGGTCCTCTCATAAAAGACCAAAGGGCATTCCACTAGAACACCAAATTATCTATAGAAGACCAAACGGTCTAGCTATAGATGACCACCAAAGGGTCTTCCCTTAGCAGAAAAAATAGATTTTCGAATAAAAGTGGAAGACCAAAAGGTCTTCTCATAGTTGTAAAGGGTCATCTCAAAGAATACCAAAAGGTCTTCTCATTAGAGACCAGAAGGTCGTCTTATAGAAGACTAAGCGTCCTCTTCTGAAAAACCAAAGGATATTCCCCTAGAACACCAAGCAGTCTTTCACCAGAATACTAAAGGGTATTTTACTGGAACAAAAAGGTTTCTTCTCATAGAAGACCAAATTCTCCAAGAATCTGAATAGTCTTCCTGTAGAAGACTTAGTGGTTTTCTCTCGAAAGACAAAGGGTTCGCCTCTCTAAGGAAGTTTTTCTGTGCAAAGGTCTTCCAGGTCTTCAACTACAGAATACCTCAAAGTCTTCTTCTATAGAAGACTACCAGATCCTCTTCTATAGGGTCCTCATCTTCTTTAGAAGACTACAAGGTCCTCTCTATAGGGTCTTCATCTACTATAGAAGACTACAAGGTCTTTTTTCTATAGAAGACCATACGGTCGTCTTCTTCTATAGAAAAAATCCAGTTCTTTCTCTTTTGAAGACCACCAGATCTATTTCCATAGAGGACTACCAGGTCTTTCTCCAAAGAAAATCATAAAGTCTTGTCCTATAGAAGACCATAAAGTCTTCTTCCATAGAAGGTTGTCTTCCTCTGTAGAAGACCACCAGATCGTATTTTTCTATAAAAGAAGACCAAGGTTATCTTGTTCTATAGAAGACCACCAATGTTGTCTTCTTCTATAGAAGACCACCAAGGTCGTCTTCTTCTATAGAAGACCATCAAGGTCGTCTTCTTCTATAGAAGACCACCAAGGTCGTCTTCTTCTATAGAAGACCATCAAGGTCGTCTTCTTCTATAGAAGACCACCAAGGTCGTCTTCTTCTATAGAAGACCATCAAGGTCGTCTTCTTCTATAGAAGACCACCAAGGTCGTGTTCTTCTATAGAAGACCATCAAGGTCGTCTTCTTCTGTAGAAGACCACCAAGGTCGTCTTCTTCTATAGTAGACCACCAAGATCGTCTTCTTCTATAGAAGACCACCATGGTCGTCTTCTTCTATAGAAGACCACCATGGTCGTCTTCTTCTATAGAAGACCACCATGGTCGTCTTCTTCTATAGAAGACCACCATGGTCGTCTTCTTCTATAGAAGACCACCATGGTCGTCTTCTTCTATAGAAGACCACCATGGTCGTCTTCTTCTATAGAAGACCACCATGGTCGTCTTCTTCTATAGAAGACCACCATGGTCGTTTTCTTCTATAGGAGACCACTATAGAAGACCACCAAGCTCGTCTTCTTCTATAGAAGACCACCAAGGTCGCCTTCTTCTATAGAAGACCGCCAATGTCGTCTTCTTCTATAAAAGACCACCAGGTTGTCTTTTTCTATAGAAGACCACTATAGAAAACAACCAAGGTCTTCTTCTTCTATAGAAGACCACCATGGTCGCCTTCTTCTATAGGAGACCACAATGGTCGTCTTCTTCTATAGAAGACCACCATGGTCGTCTTCTTCTATAGAAGACCACCATGGTCGCCTTCTTCTATAGGAGACCACAATGGTCGTCTTCTTCTATAGGAGACCACCATGGTCGTCTTCTCCTATAGAAGACCACCAAAGTCGTCTTCATCTATAGAAGACCGCCAAGGTCGTCTTCTTCTGTAGAACACGATCACAAAGTCGTTTTTACTATAGAAGACCACAAGGTCTATAGAAGATAACAAGGACATCGTATTCTATAGAAGACCACAAGGTCTTCTACTGTAGGAGACCACAAGGTCGTCCACGTTTATAGAACACTCGTCCACGTTTATAGGTCGTCTACAAGGCCTTATTTTTAGACCTTTTTTGGAAGGTCACAATTCTTCTTCATAAGCGCTTCTTTTTTAGAAGACCACAAAATCTTGTTCTGTAGAGGACCACAAGTTCCTTTTCTGTCGAAGATCGCCAGACCTCCTCCGTTGTTAAAATTTTACAAGTTCTTCATTTTTCCTTTCACAGGAGATTGTGATATGCCCTTTTTGATTTTTAAATGTATTATCTGATTTAATTTCTAAAATTTCAACAACTCAATACCATGCCAAACATAAATCATTGTTTTAAAACATAAATTTTGGAATTCAACAAATCTTTAAAAGCAATGGAACATTTCAGGCCATTCCAATTTAAAATCATTCACTTAACCTGGGAAAAAATTAAAAAAAAAACGAAACAGAATAATAATGAAAAACAAACCAAAACCAAAATAAACTCATTACCATAACCATTTTCAAAATAGCAAAAAAAATCCAATTCGATATTCCAAAAAATTTAAGGAAGCAATATAAGCAAGAAGAAGAAGAAGCATTCTAATCTACAATGATAACCAATAATAAAAACCATTCCAATTTAAATGAAAAGCAATTTTCCACAAGACCAACAAAATAGGATAATGAAAATAGAAAAGAAAACTAGGCTACTAGTAGTGGTTGTAGTTGCTGTTGTTGTGCCTACCATATCTGGCCTTGAAAACACCTGCTGCGCACACAACGTGTCTTTAAGGGAGGCTGTTCTATCGGGAAATATTATGGATTTGCCCGTTGTCGAGAGATCGGTTTTCTGGGCACACAACGTTGTCGTCGAATTGACTTTGGAGGCGTGGGATAGACGTTTCATATGTGTCCATACCTGATGCCAGGGTACATCTTTTTGCTGGTTTTTTTGTTGGGCCAAGGCAAACGATGAGAGGTAGTAGCAGTGGTATGGTGTTGGTTGTTGGGTTGGATGTTTAGTTGTTTGTTGTTGTTGTTTTTTTGGGGATAGATAGAAAAATAAGAAGAAAAAATAATAAAAATAAATTTTTATTAAAATGGGAAACAATTTCATAAAAAATGCCAATTATTTTAAGTGGGATAGTTATATTTTTTTAATTTTCTAAATTATTTTTTTGAAACTTAAAATGTATTTGGAAAAAAAACTCAAATTCTTGATAAAGGTGGGTAGTCGCCGCCTCCAGTTCTTATCGCTAATAACTGCTAATTTCAATTGTATGGCATTCCATTTCAGGGCATTTTAATGATGTCATTAACCCAAATACCGTTTTCATTTAGGTTTGGGAATTTGTCAAGCAGTTCGTTGTACGAGTGCCTTTACGTTTTGTTGTTGGTATTGTTGTTATTGTACGGCTTTCAAAATTTATTACACTTGACAGATAGTTTATTGCTATTAAGTAATTGAATTATTTTTGGAATATTACGTTTAATTAGGGGGCCATACAGTGCAGCGATGGGGAGATGTTAAATATTTAATAAAAATAAGTATTTGAATAATTTTTTGGAATGTTAAATGTAGTAAATAAATGTGGTAAATGTATATCCAGAAAGAGTGGACCTAAATATACGGTTCTCACCCTGAGTCTCATATTTGCAATGAGCTTAAATCGAAAAAAGTTGAATAAAATCAGTCGGTTTTGCAAACAGATATATACCCCCAGCGTTGAGTTATGATTATTCTAACTTTTAACCCTTTATCGGGGAGGTTCCGAAGCAGTTGTCCAATTCGTATGTGACCTACGACTGATATAAATATTACAAGGTGTCATATTTGGACAATGGACGTCTATTTCTTTCAAATTTTTCAAATTTTGGAAATATGCGTGAGGTACCAGGCATGGCGATCCGAAATATTCCACTTCATCTAATGCATATAAAAATATCGTGCAAAGTTTAAAGGAAATCGAACATTTATATTCAATTTCATATGAAATCATAAATTCTTGTTTCGCAATTATGACAGATATAAGTAATGGAAGTTTTGACTCTTTGTGGTTGAAGTACTAGAACGGGTTTGCAGATCAATATTCAATTTCATATGAAATCATAAATTCTTGTTTCGCAATTATGACAGATATAAGTAATGGAAGTTTTGACCCTTTGTGGTTGAAGTACTAGAACGGGTTGGCAGATCTACCATCACCACAACAGATTTTGAGTTTGCAAAAATGTTGGTAGTTGTGAAGTTTGAAGAGAGTTGGATACTTATTTCGCTTTCTTTGAGCGTCTTGTTTTTTCAAAATCTTGAACTCTATTTAGGCGAGGCACCAGAAGAAATGGTCCGATCTCTACCATCTTTATAAAAGATCTTGTGTAGAATGGAACCGGTGTTTAATTTCGCTTCTTATTTTTTTTTTTCATGGATAATTGAAATTTTTGCCCTCTGAGAGGTGCCATCTTCACAGCAGATCTAAAAATAATGGCATTTGTGAAATTTGAAGAGGGCATGATGCATATTTAGGACTTTATGATCGTTTTGGTTATTCAAAATTTTTAACCTTTATGGGGGAGGTACCGGAATAAATGGTCCAATCTCTACCATATTTATAACAGATCTTGTGTTGATAGAAATATTGAGATGTTCCAAGTATGAATGGAATCGGATATTAATTTCAAGTCTTATGAGCTTCAAAGTTGTCCAAAATGTTGATCCTTTTTGGGGGAGGTATCAGAAGTAGTAGACCGATATATCCCATCATCACAGCAGATTTGGTATTAGTATAAATAATGGGTTTTATGAAATATTTAGAAAGCCGGAGACTTATTTCAGATTTTATGTTCGTTTTGGTTACTTGAAACTTTGACCCTTTGTGGGGGGGATGTACCAGAAGGAATGGTCCGATTTCTGTCATCTTTATAAGAGATCTTGTGTTGATAAATATATTGAGATGTATCAAGTCTGAACGGAATAGGGTGTTAATTTCATGTTTTTTGAGTCTCATAAAGATTCAAAAATTTGAGCCTTTGTAGGGGAGGTACTACAAGGAGTGGACCGATACATTCCATCTTCACACCAGACTTTGGGTTAATAAAAATATTGTGATGTGCGTAATTTGAAGATAATCGGACACTTACAACACATTTTATAAGAGTTATAATTATTCAAAATGTTGACCCTTTGTGGGGGAGGTACTTGATGGAGTGGACCGATATTATCCATTTTTGCACCTAACGTAGCACTGATGGAAAAATTAGGTTTTGCAAAGTTGGAGCAAAATCGGATTATTCTTTCTCTTTCTGTGAGATTATTTTCTTGAAAATTTTGACATTTTTTCTGGGAGGTACCAGTGGGAGTGGACCAATATTGCCCATCTCCGAACTCATTCTAAGGTTGACAATAATATTACGATGTAACAAGTTTAGATCAAATCGGATACTCCCTTCGAGAGTTATCGTGCGAACCAGCTTGCTGGACGGACGGACGAACATCGCTAGATCGACTCCAAGAGTTCTGAAACAGATTGGGTCCAAAGAGACCAAGGGTCTAAAACCGTTATTTCTATCTAGCTATATTATATACTATATCTAGCTATATGGCTGAGGGCATAAAATTAGTTTTTTTTTTTTGAAAGTAAGAAATTAGATTTCAATTCTAGCATATTTTATCCGACTCCTGCGTCGACTTCAAAAAATAATAATAAAAATGTCGGTAACATCTAAATATGTTCCATAAATAAATTTGAAAGTAGCTAAAATTTGCAAACTGATTAGATGACGATGTCCGTCAAAACTGGGGAAGCGGGAAAGCCCATTTACCTTGAAAAAGGAGGGTATATTAGCTTTATCATTTCTTTTATAACATCCATAAATATTCGTTATAGACCCCATACAGCATAAAATTCTAAGTTGAAACTCAGTCGAATTCGAGCGAGAGCGCTCCTGCCAGCAGAAACAAAATCAAGCAAAGTAATTTTTTCGATGTCCAAAAAGGGGGGAACATGTTTTCCTCGTCTACACTCTGAGAGCAAAATCTTGCTCCAGTTTGAGTGACTCTGCTCCTACTCTCATTTTTCAAAGAAGAGCAGCTAGCAACGTGAACTAGTACGGCACCGGAAACTCCATCGATTCTCAGCAAATGAAGGATATGATTTAAAATACTTTTGCAAGAAATATATTCTGAAAGAAATGCGAGCACCTTCAAGGAACTTTTACAAAATATTGGGAAAGTTAGTTCCAAATACCAATTCGCAACACTGTACGGCGCCAAGTCGGAAAAAAATTAACATTGATAAGAACCCCATAGCCAGGCGAAGTAGTTCAAACGAACTTTATATTAGCACGTGAAATCTTCAATAGAATATTTAAATGATTCTAATCAGACGGCAGATAAGAATGTTTGAACACTTATGAATCAAATTCCTAAAAGAAAATTGTATGAGGGATAGATTGGGGCTGATGACAACAGTGAATGAATTATTTCCACTTTAAGGCATTTAAGGTGAGGTCAGCTAATATATGCGAATTACTCATTCTCAGCAAATTCTGTTCCTTGCAAAATGGGTGTTTATTCTAAATATTTATTTTTATTTTCAAGGTTGAAAAAAAATGCTAAAGTGGATTTTATTTGAAATGATTCCAGTTATACTGGCACATTGCAAGTTTTTATACCCTCCACCATAGTATGGAGGATATATTAAGTTTGTCATTTCGTTTGTAACACCTCGAAATATATATTTTAGACCCCGCAAAATATATATAGCCTTGATCAGCAAAAAATTTTACTCAAATGTATATTATGTCTGCAGGACTTTTAGTATGGGCCATGTATGTCCACGTCTTCGTATAGCTCCCCATAACGGTACCTCTCTATTTTCGGTATTTCGATGATTTTAGCGACATTATTCACCGGAATTGTTTCAAATTTGGTATTTGGTGTTCGTAATGTATACTACAGCCTATGACAGAAACATGTCTGTGCAGGTTCACGTCTTGGTAAGGCCCCTACATAACGGTACCTTCCAATATTCGGTATTTTAATGACATTTGCGACATTATTCACAGGAATTGTTTCAAATATGGTATTTGAAGTTTGTAATGGATACTACAGCCCTTGACAGAAAATTGTCTGTGTAGGTCCGTGTCTTCGTATAGCCCCCATATAACCGGTACCTCCGCATATTCGGTATTTTGATGATTTTAGCTACATTATTCACCGGAATTGTTTCAAATTTGGTATTTGAAGTTCGTAATAGATATTACAGCTTATGACAGAAATTTGTCTGTGCAGGTCCACGTCTTCGTATAGCCCCCATATAACGGTACCTTCCGATATTCAGTAGTTTGATGATTTTAGCGACATTATTTACCGGAATTGTTTCAAATTTGGTATTTGAAATTCGAAATAGATACTACAGCCCTTGACAGAAAATTGTCTGTGTAGGTCCACGTCTTCGTATAGCCCCCATATAACGGTACCCCCCGATATTCAGTATTTAGATGATTTTGGCGACATTATCCACCGGAATTCTTTCAAATTTAATATTTAAAGTTCGTAATGGATACTACAGCCTAACAAGGAAATTTGTCTGTGCAGGTCCACGCCTTCGTATAGCCCCCATATAACGGCACCTCCCTATATTCGGTATTTTCAAGATTTTTTCAAGTTTGGTATTGTAATGGCTTATGACAAAAATTGGCTATGCAGGTCCACGTCGTCGTATAGACCTTAATATAATGGCTACATTCGGTATTTTTAAGATTTTAACAGTATTGTTAACGGATTTTATTTTTTTGATATTTCCGTTCCAAATGGTGGAGGGTATTCAAAGTTCGCCCCGGCGGAACTAACAGCTTTTTACTTGTTAGAAATTGGAAGCGTATTTAGAAACCAATACAAAAACTCAATTTAAAACTTTATATTTCAATTTTCTCAATATCCTA